GGCCTACCCCACAGCATGGATTCCCACATGGCCAACCACCGTTCAACCTCGGACCTGGTGGCTTGCTTTCTCACTTCCTCTCTCTCTGTGTCTCTCTCTGATCAAACTGGAAAATAATAATAATATAATAATAAATAAAGTTAAATATTAAAAAAAAGAAAAGTCACTTTTTATTTGTTGGTTTTAATTGTTGGTTTGCCCAACAATTACATTTCACAGCCAAGTTTATACATTTAGAAAAATTTGTCCCTCATTGATTTCTCATGTCTGAGGTATGTTCCACAGTCAAAGCTGTTATGATTTTCTAAAAAAGCAAGCAAACAAAACATGTTTCAACAACACTTTACGAGCCAGACATGAATTGCCAGCCATTGGCTAACTTAACTGATAAGCCTTTTTTGGCAACACACAGACAGTTCTGTATCCCATACATTATTTCTCTAAATTTATATATTTCCATCTTATGATACCTTCAAAAACTTCCTTCAGTTCTGGTTTAATCTGCCAAATAGCCTGGTCAAAAATGTATCTGTCTTTCTTCACTACTGCTCCACAACTATGCCAACTCAGGAGCCAAAGCAGAACACACGTTACCCCCAGGGCCCCTCCACATTTTCGTAGCAGTAAATGGCACACATCTTCAAAACCAGTGCATCACTATTTGCTATTAGCACAAATATCAACAACTAACTGCATAACACACAAACAAAAACCTACAAGCACTCCCACAAACACAAATCATGGTTCATGTCCAAGGGTGAAGTTAGGTAAGTAACTTTTATCTGGCTTATTCAAGCAGATGTCTAAGCTTCTGATTTCAATTTTTCTTCTATTCATTACTACACATCCTGCCATGGTCTGGGAATGAGCTCACAGTTTAAACAGAATTTCCTTATCTCAGTCCTTTCCTTACTGGAGTCATAAAACTGATCAGACGCTGTCTTGCTCTCATAGAATACACAGACTAGAAGTGAGGCCCCAAACAGAGTGTTCTTTCTGAGGCCTCTTCCCTCAGTTCCTCGGCATCCAACTCAACTGAAAACACAACTCAGTTCTAACCCAATGGTTCACAGTTCTGAACACTTACTACAAAACCAACAAAACTATCCATTATCTTACAGAAAAAGTAATCAAACATGAATGCTCAGGATTAAAAAGTTCACACGGATAAATGTAATTACATTTCTTATTTCCATAGATATTTTATTTTAATTCTGCAGAAAACCATGAGCATATGCCTATCTGTAGTAAGAAAAATATAGTAACATGGCAGTCTTAGTCTGGGTGAACAGTTAAGTAGGAAGCTCTTCTGACAGAGATCTCAGCTTTGGATTTCGGTTTTCATTCTGTGTGTCACTATACACCTGGCTGAAGAATACCAGATGAGATGTGGTTTCTCTGTACATCAGTAAGTCCCACATCTCCTGCTAGATAATGCCAACATGTCCTTATGTCAGCAGTGAATTTTGCTAATGACATTAAAAACAAGGCGAATGGGGAATTTTCTACTACCTCGATTTTGAAAGAGGCTCCCAAAACCTTTTTGGACAAAATGATGAGAGGCTTGGAAACTCATTCCCATTTCAAATGTCCAGGCAATGGACAGGGGGCAATTTTTCATATGGATAACTTTATGCTACCTCTATGGTAGACCTAACTGTAATTACATTTTTAAAATTTATTTGAGGATTGAGTCAACATTGATGAAAAACAAAACAAAACAACAAAAAAAAAACCCACCCTCCCCACTCTCTCGGCTAAAACAAAAACAAAAACATCAACTACTTAAGCCAAAGCCACAAGGTGAAGCAAGCTGTCTGTCACTGTGACCTTGCTCTGCTTTAATTCAGGAGACTACTTAGAAATGTAGCGAGCAACACCCTTCATTCGGCTCAGCTAGCAGAGCTAATAGGCTTCTAATTAATTTCCAGAAGATTGCTGTTATAACTAACAGGTTTTAAACATTTGGTTGATTGGGGAAAATGAATTGAATATAATGTATTTGATTTGGAAAATTAGTTTTCATTCTATGTGCTTACCCTAAGAGTGTTTATTTTAAGTTTACATGATTCCATTAAGAGTCCCAGAACACCACTGGGTTGTTTTCATCCTTACAAAGTCCTACCCAACTTAAAAAATAATAATAATAATAATTTACATTTAGACTTTTGTTGGCCTTTCTTTGAAGGCATGTTAAATTTCTTCTTGTGACTTATGCATATATATATATATATATGCTTGTTAATATACCAACAGGGCCCAAATACATCAAAATGATGCCAGCGATACCTCAAAATCTCACTCACAGAATGCAAATCCTCTGGAGGAAGGCTCTGCACCCAGGGTAAGATGAACCAGTTACTGCATTGTTTATTAAGTTTCACTTGATTCCTCCTGACAACCATTTAAACAATGAATGTTGGGAAATGTCCCTCAAAGAATGAACAACAATGGCAGGGATCAGCGCTTTTATATTTAGCTAATACTATTTTTAAAGGAGAAAATATTTCTTCCTGAAGGGATTATGGGAAGCCTTATTAAAGACACCTGCAAACAAAACAAGTGACAATAGATCTTTATCATAATTGATAACTGAGTTATCCTTTATATAAAACTCCTTTCTGGGAGACAATAGCATCAAGATTTACCTTTGCCGCAGATTCAAGAAATCGGCTAATTGGAACAAGGAGTATCCATACAACAATGATACCTACATTATGTGAGCAGATAATAAAGGGCTTGGTCTTTGGTTAAGCAGAAGTACAAAAAGAAATTAGAATTTTCTCTTTAAAAATGTTTTATACTGAGATCAAGTGGCACCCATCCCTGTCCCTCCATATGCAATGAGGGATTCTAATGATGAAGACTTACTCAGCCAAACACACAGAGGGCCAGCCAGCTTGGAAAACTCAACCTCTTGCCTAGCTTGTGGTCGCAAAGAAACAACTTTTACAAAATCTTCTCAAAGGAATTAACAATCACTGTCAAAGCATGCACTTACAGTCACCTGAATTCTATGGGGAAAAAAATTAAAACAACAAAAAAAACCACCACCATATTTTAGTGAAAGATTGCTTCTTTGGAATAAATAACATTGTAAATCCAACAGGGGACATTTCAAAATAAGTTTGCAGAAGTTAAAAAAAAAAAATCAGAGGTCCTTATTTATCATAAAAATAAATACTCTGCCTGTGAGTGTCAGAAGAGTCTCATGGCACGTTGGTACACAGAGGATGTCTTTGCCCATAGGCTACATACGCTGTTTGCAGTCAGTCACCTTTGCATTTTAGTGTGACTAACAGAAATTCGTGCATTCATTTCAGGACTACGACTAATTTTTCTGACATGGCTAATTTTTTCAGAGTAAGTCATTTGGATTCCTTTTAGAACAGTGGTTCTGGAGGAGATCCTAAGCTTTGACTTGATCATTGAAAAAAAACTGGGGTTAGGGGACATCAGAATCAGGCCATAATGGCAGACCCCAACTCTAGCATTTCTACTTCCTGGCGGGTAAACTTAGCTCATGACTAGAACTACTGTAAACTGACACTTAAGGAAAACGAGAAGGTGCACATTGTTAGCAACAGCAGTTGGAATTTTAGAATATAAGCAGCTTTGAATAGACACATTTGATTTCCAAAAGAAACACTTGGAGAAAAGAGGGGAGGAAAAAAAAAAAAAAAAAAAAAAAAAAAAAAAAAAAAAAAAAAAAAAAAAAAAAAAAAAAAAAAAAAAAAAAAAAGGCTCCCTAGTCTGAATCACTAAAAATTTCACAAAATTAAACAATGGGGAAAAATATCAACACATGAGCAAAAAACTTGAATGAAGGGGTGAGAGATGAGATGACCAAGCAGTACTCTACAGAACCTCAAGTGCGCAGACAAAACAAATGCTTTACCAAAGGCATTTCTAGGGGGTTGCTAGTTTTCTTCTTTAAAAGACAAAGACACCTTAAGACTTAGAGAAATCAAGGTGTGAAAAGAAAAGCCGCCTACAAAAACAAAAAAGACATTTTCTGAGATGACTTTGATCCTATACTCAAATTATTGGCTTAAACACGCTTGCCTTGAAAGGCCTTGTATCTGCAATAACTGCTTGCTATTGTCCTTGTTAACAAAGTATTATTTTCACCTTATTATTACTAATCTTTTCTTTGTAAGTAACCACACCTGGTTTTATTTAAAAAAAAAAAAAATACGGTGCAGTAAATATTTGCCCTTTGTGGTAATACAATGCATAATTTAGTTAATCTAGGCTATCTTTTCGTGCGAAGTGATTGTTTCTATATTATGAAATGTGTTCACTAAGGCAAAATCCACGCCAGATACCTAGGAGGCAGACCGAGTGCCACTTACGAAGCATGTCGCTGCTGTGAACCAACCCTGCCACCACTCTGCAGCCACTCCTACACACGAGGTATTACTCATGCTAACTTAGCCTCCCAATGGTAACCACACCTTTCCTTTACAAACATGGCCTTTGATTAAGGTAACACTACACATCCATCCCAGGCCCAGAGCCCCAGCCCCACCCGTGAATGAAATGGCCTTGAAAAACATAGAAACTTCAGTTTTCCACGTAAGACCTTGACCTGACTGTTGCATTTACCTGGATGAAATCTAGAAACGTCAGGGGCAGCAAATCATCCATATGTCCAATGTCTTTGGAGAAACGATTTAAAATTCTTCCTGCAAGAACAGGATATAAGAAATTACTCATTTCCCCAGATAGACCCTTAAAGAGAAACAATTCACAAACAAATCAAACAACATTTTAAATGCATATGTATTTAATATATGATGCATTCATATACAATAAGCCAATGTTAGTGGTAAAGAAAAAGGAAATAGGATGATATCTAAAGAGAAACAAAAATACCACCAAAACGCAAAAGGTAGGGAGTTGAAATTTGGCCCTAATTTCTAAAAGAATGGGGAGAAATGGTTGAGGATACTATCAGAAAAGGTTGGTGAGTTGTAGAAAGTTCTTTTCAGATCCCACCTAGAACTCCAAATACTACATAGGTAAATAATCGCAAAATACATATTTTAATCCTAGTTATTACATTAAGGTTGTTCTCAGTTAACAAAATTAAATTTTCTAAGTGGTACATTTTTTAATAAATATAACCTCTGCATTTTTGTTTCCCAGAATGATTCAAGTCACCTCACATTTCGGGAAAACGTGGAATGCTGCAATTTTCTGAATGCTGCGTTTACCACTGGAGTACAGGTTGTTATTTTCAGATGAATGCCAAGGGTGACCAACACAGGCTTACTCTTAAACGCCCAAGATGATAGGAGGAATATTTTAACAAGATGAGAGAACTATTATAGCACTTAGCGACTGGAGATCACGTCTGATCATCAATTGAATTTCCCCTGTCAGGTAGGCTCCTAGTTCAAGAGGGTCTTCATAAAGTACATGGAAATGTATATTAGGAAAATTGTTCGTGTGGACTTCAAACTTTTTTTTTGGAGTGGGGCACCGGAACTCATACTTTTTTCCTCTGCTTCTTATTCTTTTACACTTTTTGCCATAGGGCATGGGAAAGAGATAGAACGTGAGACACTGAGAAGTGAGAAACTACCCTTGGACAGAGGAGAGCCAGGCTGCAATCCCTCCTTCTCCATCCTCTCCAGTCGGGATTTTGAGCACATGTGTCTGGTGAGTTTGGCAAGCTGCCGGGTCTGCAACTTGAATTGCATAGCTGGCCATGCGGATGCAGCCACCTTCACCACTATGCCACTGGCAGGCCCTCAGAACTGTTTTCTAATGAATGTCCATACTTTCAAATGATTTTATCTGGTCCCTGAACATCTTTTTGAATGGATGCCTTGGGAAGCCACAGTACAGTCAAGATGCAGGGCCTCTAGTCGCTCTTCCCTGCATCTTTCAGAAATGACTTTCCCTCAGGACGTTCATACCAAGCACAACTGGAGTGAGTAGTCGGAGGCTGGGGACAAGGGGAATGCTGTCTCAGCAGCTCTCAGTGGCCCGAGGGCTCAGCTTGGAAGTGCAGGCTGTGTGAGGCAGGGTATTCAGAGGCTTTCACTCTTGGCCAGGCCATGCCATTACAGGCCACGCCGTGCCATTACAAGCCAGGCCTCAATTTTCCTGTCTTGAGTTTGGGACATAAAGACTCCAGAAAGCGTCTTGCAGTGACACCTTTGGCAGGCCCTGTGACAACTTTCTGAGCCTCTAATAACACCTCCCTAAGAGGGATGTCCTGAGGATTAAATGGACTCAGGCAAGTGAAAGAACCTCTTGCAATGCCAGGCATCTTTTAACAGGTACTCAAAAACAACAAACAGGGGAGGGTGCCATTCCCACAGGCCCTGCAGCGAGCCACCTGGGGAGGGAGTCCAACCTGCAAATGCAGATCGGGCCTCAGCTGCTCCTAGGTGGAGCTACAGAGTCTGCATGGCTGGCAAGCTCCAGGGCTAGGCTATTACTAAACCATTTGTGCCTGAGGAACGGGAGCATCAGATGGCAGATTTTCCACATATCATTAGAGATTTTGTGTACTATTTACTTATTCCACAACTTCTCAATGTATCAATGCCAAAATTAGAAAAATCCACTTTCAAAGCATAATTTAAATGTTTGCCATTTCTGCCAGGAAAGAATTAGGACTTTTGGGTCTTTTTAAGTTTTTTGCTATAGGGCACATGTGCTTACCAGAGAGAGACAGGGAGAGTCAGAGAGAAGGGAAGTTAGAAATCACCCCCGAGCAAGGATGGCCACACCACAGTCTCTTCTCCTCCATTCTCCTGGGATTTTGAGTCCATACACACATGAGCCCATTGTGATTTTCAAGCCATTGGGTCCAGGACCCAAACTGCAGCTGGCCATGTGGGAATCTCGCACCTTAACCACCATGGCATCTGCTACTCCCAATGATAGGACACTAGCAATCCGAGAGCCACCACCTAACTGAAGGAAAACCAAAGATTGCCTAAAACCTGAACTCATTCACCAATGAGATGACTACACAAAATGTAATTAGAGGGTTCAATAGTTACTTCCTTACTCTTCTGACAATCGGCGGCAACAGGCCTCATCTAACCTCTTCGGAGAGGCAAATGCCTTCTCTGTAAAATGGAGATAATATATGCCTCCACTAAATCACAGGGTCGAAGATCTGAAGGAGAAATGCTTTTCAGAAAATATCATCAGCTGCTGACATGATAAAAATACCAAACGACTTGACTGATTCTTTCTATACTATATATAGATCAAAACATTGTGTTGGACTGTGTAAGTATACACAATTATCATGTCAATTAAAACTAAATAATTTAATTTTTAAAAAGAAATAAAGGAGACCTGCAGATAGCATAGCAGGACTCCCACATGGCTAACGGTGGTTTGAGTCCCAGACTTGATGGCTTGAAACTCACGCCGCGTATGTGTGTGCATGTGTGCGTGCCCAAGATCATGGGAGAAGAATGAAGGAGAAGGTATTGTGGTATGGCTATTCCCTTGATGTATTGGGAGAGTAATTGCTCACTTTCCCTCTCATTGTGTGTGTCCTCTCTCTCTCTATCTATCTATCTATCTCTATCTACCTCTATCTCTCTATCTCTCTCTCACTCATGCGCACACTAGCACATGTGCCATAAGGCAAATACTTCTTTAAAAAAAAAAAAAAGAAGGAAACTTTTGCTCAAGATTATATTTTTAACAATGCTAGAATAAGGCAGTTAAAACTTTTTCTCTTTATTGTCAAAGGGCATGTGTGCTCAGCAGAGAGAGAGGACTCCCCCCACAATGGCATGTTCATCCACAATCTCTTCTACTCCATTGCTCCATCCCATCAGGATTTTGGGCGCGGGGGTGCACGCACACACACACGCACACACACACACACACAGAGTCCTGGTGTGATTTTCAAGCTCCTGGTACTGAGACTTGAACCTCAGTAGGTCATGTGAAATTCAGCTACCTCTACGTAGAACTGAACTACTGCACTACAGGCCTTGCACTTCTAGTTAATATATTCTTTATCACAAAATGATACATAGAGAATAATGCAGAAATGATTTTGTTTTAATATTGAATGAATGTCACTCATCTTCACAGGAAAACATATAGTAAAAGAAAGACAAATATATGGAGTTGTCAGGAAAGTCATGATGCCTTTTTGCATAAAAAAATACATAATGGCTTTCACGACTACCAAAGAGTTTGTGATTTACATGTACTTATATCACTCCCTCTCCTCTAGTAAACTTACGCTCTTTCAGGACCAGCAATTAGTGTAACACGTAACCATGTAGACGACCATGGTCAGAGTCCTGGACCTGGTGGCTTAAACTCACACTGGGCACATGTTCGTGTGTGCCCCAAGATCCTGAGAGGAGAATGAGGGAGAAGGGATTGGGGTGGAGCTCTCTGCCCTGGGGGGTGATTTCTCGCTTCCTGTCTCTCCAGCAAGTGCGCGCACCCTATAGCAAAAAATATCTCTCTGAAAAACAACAAGAGGACCAGCAGTTAGCATAATGGCAATGTCGCTGAACTCCCATATAGACGACCTCAATTCAAGTCCGGGACCTGATGGCTTAAACTCATGCCGGGCATGTGTGTGTGCTTGCCTAAGATTCTGAGAGGAGAATGAGGGAGAAGGGATTGGGGTGTAGCCATCCACCCTGGGGGGTGATTTCTCGCTTCCTGTCTCTCCAGCAAGTGTGTGCACCCTATAGCAAAAAATATCTCTCTGAAAAACAAGAGGACCAGCAGTTAGCATAATGGCTATGTCGCTGAACTCCAATATAGTCGATCGCAGTTCAAGTCCCGGACCCGGTGGCTTAAACTCACGCCAGGCATGTGTGCATGCCCAAGATCCCGAGAGAATAGAGGAGAAGGGATTATGGCATAGCCATCCCCCCTGGGGGGTGATTTCTCACTTTCTGTCTCTCTGTCTCTCTCTGTTTCTCTGACTAGCACACAAGCCTTATAGCAAAAACCTCACCCCAAAAACAGCAACAACAACAACAATAAAAAAATCCCAAATGCCCGACGGCAAAGGGCAGCCCACACTCCAATTTCTACATTCAGCTTGAAGTCTTCCTTCCTCTAGGGCACGACAATCCCTCTGCTTACCATTAAGTAAACCATCTTCAACCCCTCACTGGAAATTAAATTTGATACTAAATTGCTACTTAAAATCAGAATTTAAAACATCTTGTTTGGTATCTATCGGGGCATAGAATCCAACACTGGGAGCAGGTTAACAGGTTACACTGAGTGAAGGGTGTATGAAGAGTGACACAAAATGACAGACACACATCCTGGTGGCAGAAACCACAAACCAAGAACCATATACCAAACAGGTGCCTAGGAGGAAGCCACTGCTGCAGGGAGTGTCACCAGACAGGGCGAGTTATGAGGTCAGGCAGGGTTAGCCCGAGGTGTTTTCCTGGTGGGGACGGGCCTGAGAATTTGGAAGGAGGGCAGAGAATGCATTGATGGACGGGGTAGAGTTTGTCCAGGTGAGAGGAATGACATCCATCAGGGCGAAGAGGAGGGAAAGGGCAGAGGGGAGACAAATATTTGCCCAGTTGCTGGAAAGAGTACGAAGATAGGAAAGGGAGTTGGGGGGGAGACGTGTTAAGGGCCTCCACTGAAAATCCCCTGTAGGCAGGAAAAGTTCTAGGTTCTGTCTTTCATCTGTGCTCTTGAAAGT